ACTTCACAGCAGTACTTTTTGTATAGCCAATTTCACTTCTTCCGTTATGTGGGTGTTTCACACATCACCAAGATAGAAGAACACTTGTAAAATAGGGAAATTAAAAAAAGCCAAAAAAAATCAATTACAAGAGAACTCAAGGGCCTGAAGTAGTGAATCCACTTGTGTCTTTTTCCTTTTTTTAAGTGATTTCACACTGACTGTTTCTTTAAACTACAGTGTTGTGATACAGAGCTCTGCAGTCGTCAGAGTGAAACTGAGGGATTTCCTTGCACTTGGTGATGGTCATCCCATACCCTGGAACATTACTAGACTATTCCTGCCAAAAGTGCTTTTTCCCCCCTGACTCGCAGATTTTTATGAACTACGTATAGTCTATTTGTTTGCAGTGCGCTATATTGAGCTAAGTGGCATATTTGTAATTTCCCAATGTAAATTATCAGCCAACTCTAGAAAAGGCCTTCCTTTTGCAAATTATTTGATTAATTAAAATACTATGTTGATATATGTATGCCTTTGAATACTGTACAGTCTTGATTTACATTCTTGCTATATTTTAACACTTCAGGAACCTAAGCTCTGCAGGAGAAGAAGCACGGAAACAGATGAGGTCTTGTGAAGGACTGGTTGATTCATTGCTGTATGTGATTCACACATGTGTGAACACATCAGACTATGACAGCAAGGTGTGGCCACATTTTAACTAAATAATTCTTTGGTACCAAACCAGTTGTCTGATGTGATTCTGTTCTGCTGTGTACAGTAGAATTGAACCACTTGTGGTGTACTTACTTTTGCTGACCTTTTCTTTTCCAGCTACATTTTTTTATGCACAATCAAATCCAACTGTGGAACACACTTATTCTGTGTGTTTGATTTGATAGTGTTGAAGTACTCCCTTTTTGGTAAATAATAATAATATTCAGTGCTTAGCATGCCTTTCACCTTCAAAATACTTTTAAAAAATCCTGAACTTATCACTGTAAAGTGGGTGACTGTTATCACATTTTTGGGAAAGAAGTTTACAAGATTATAATTTGTCCAAGGACAAGGAGGGAGTGGTTAGGCTCAAATTTAGAATTTAGGGTTCCTGGTCCAAGATTCTGTGGTCTGAAAGCTTGATGCATTTTATGTGAAAGTGTTAATTACAGGTTATCTTCACACTTTGGGTTCTAGACAGTGGAGAACTGTGTGTGCACACTGAGAAACCTGTCCTATCGTCTAGAATTGGAGGTACCTCAGGCACGCCTACTGGGTATTAATGAACTGGATGACTTGCTAGGGAAAGAATCACCAAGTAAAGATGCAGAACCAAGCTGCTGGGGAAAGAAGAAGAAGAAGAAAAAAAGAACTGCACAAGAAGATCAGGTTTGCTTTTTCCTTGTTTTGATAAAAACTTGAGATACTGTTTTCCTGATAGTAGAAAAGTATGTGTGGAGAAAACTATCTGTAAGAGCATAGTGACTACCTCCAGTACATAAAATGCTGATGTTAAGATAGGGCTGTGTTAGATTTCCAAAAGAGTTCAGGTGCCATTTAGGGCGGTGCGAAATGACTATGTTTCATTTCGTTTTTGGATTTAGTGTTTCAGAGGGACAGTCATTTGTTTTGGTGTTTCAGATCACTGTCCTGTTTCAATTTGGCCCAATCTGTTTCGGAGTTTCAACGCTGTTTCAGTGTTTCAGCCATAGGCTATAATGGGAAATCACTAAAATGCCTATAACTTTACCATTCCTTGCCTGATTCAGATGAAAATTGCAGGAATGGTAGCCCCTTCTGAGGGCATGAAGCCTGCCAAGTTTCAAGGAGATAGTTGCAGGGGATTTTGTAAAACTGCACCTCAAACGGTTCAAAGCAAATCTCACATTATTTGCCAGCAGCGGCAGCATGCTGTCATCCCTCATGCAGATCCAGGGGCCCGCACCCCCCAGAAGGAGCCTGGCACAGCCCTGCAGCCCTCCCAGTGCGCACAGGTTCCCACATCTGCATGTAGGATGACAGCAGGCTGCCGCTGCCAGCTGGGGCCAGCACCAGCACTGGGTTCTTCCCTGCACTCACCGCGGAGTGTGCTGAGCAGACGCGGGTGTGGGTGCTGGCCCTGGCCCCAGCCAGCAGCAGCAGCATGCTGTTACCCGCATGCTCCGTAGCTGGTGAGTGCAGAGCTTTAAAAACAAAAAAACACTCATCGGCTCTGGCAGCAGCAATTGGGGCCTCTGGGCACTCATGGCAGAACCCCCCCTGCACAGCGAGGATGGCCCCTCCCCACCCCTGCCTGGCATCCATGCAGCAGCTGTCCCATGGTGTGGGTGCAGCACAGCTCAGCAGGATGCTGTGCACTGTCCGGGAGTTGGGGTGGATCCACCTGTCAGCCAGAGCTCCCAGTTCAATTCCCCAGCTCTCTAATCATTTCCCCAGCTCTTCCTGGGGGGCGCAGCCCCCTGATCTATGTGCGGAGTTTCAGTGGGCTGCTGCTGCTGGCTGAGGCAGTAGCCCAAGCTGCCATCATCCCACATCATCTGGGGGCCCACATCCCATCGGAGGAGCTGGGGGCAGCAATCAGAGAGCTGGGGGAAAGATCGAGGAGCTGGGTAATCAAATCAGGAACTGGGGGAATGTTCAGGGACTGGAACCTTCCTCCATCCCCTGGCTCAATTCCCCAGCCTCCTGATTGCTTCCCCCAGCACTCTGATCATTGTCCCAACTCTTCCTGGAGACTGTGGGCCCCCAGATCTGCGCGCTGGGTTTTGGCAGGCTGTGCTGAGCAGCTGCCACTGGCCCCAGCCTGCAGCGGCAGCCTGCTGAAACCCCACGCGCAGATCAGGGGCCTGCACCCCCTGGAAAGAGCTGGGGAAATGATCAGAGAGCCAGGAAGCGATCAGAGAGCTGGGGAATCAAACTGGGAATTAGACATCAATATCAGAGCAGTCCTTCCCCCCCACCCTATTTCCATTCCCTCTTAGTTTTTGTTTCCCTGCAAGCCCGGCTCCAAAACTCTGAAGTTCTCCAAAACATTTCCAAAACGTTTTGCAGCCTTCTGATTCATTTCGGAGCTGTCTTGGAGCCTTCCATTTCAATTTGGATTTGGTGTTTCAGGTGCTAAAATGGCCGAAAACACTTCTGAAACAAAACAGCTGCTGAAATTTCACACAACCCAACTAAGCAGCCAGCAGCTTCTGGCCTACTGTCACTTAATCAGCAGGGCTGGAGGATATCCTCACAATTGGACTCTCCCTGGAACACCCAACAATAAGGCAAACTACACTACCTCTGTCCTCTGCCCCTTGCATAGATTGGGGTAATTCCATCTATGCAGGGAGTAGGAAGCAGTGGCACAGGTGTAGCACAGAGCAGTGGCACAGGAAATCGCTGCCACCACTTAAACAGTGTATGCAAGATGGAGCAGTATACCTCCAAGGCTTCCTGACAGCTCGGTACGGGACAGACTATCAGAGCCAGTGCTCTTCCTCTCTTCCTCCACCTTGGAGGGAGGAAGAACAAAAGACTGGGGGATACTGGGTGACCCTGAGAGAAACATACAGCTATTCAAGCTGGCACACAAAAGCTTCCTGGGAGAGAGAACTTCCTGGCTGGAAGTGTTATCATTGTTTTGTGGATAAACTGCTTTCTTCCATGAAAAACCCCTTGAACACCTGTATACTACCTTATCTCTGATGGAGGAAAGGCATTTCTCCCAATACAAACATAACACCAAACCATAGCCTCAAATAACTATAAGCCTGTCAGCCCTAGATTGATCCTGGGCAAAATAGTGGGATAGTTGATATGGGACTTGAATAATAAAGAATTAAAAGAGGGAAATATAATTAATCCCAGTTAGTAAGGCTTTATGGAAAATATCCTGTTAAACTAACTTGATAACTATTTTTATGGGATTAACAAATCAGTTGATGAAAGTAATATTGTGGAGGATTTCAGTTTTGTTCGAACTGGTGTGCTAACAACTAACACGTCTTTTGGTTTTTTCCCTCAGTGGGATGGAGTTGGCCCTATACCAGGATTTTCTAAGTCTCCCAAAGGGGTGGAAATGCTATGGCATCCATCTGTGGTAAAACCATATCTAACACTTCTAGCAGAAAGCTCTAACCCAGCCACCCTGGAGGGTTCTGCAGGATCTCTCCAGAATCTTTCTGCAGGCAACTGGAAGGTATTACATTAAGCTCATCCCATAATCTTAATAGCTGTTTGAATTTCCCCACTTCCTCCTACATGTAAACCCTAATTGTTCTCTTTCAACAAAATATTGGCACTTGTGTGTATTGAATATATAATTTGCTGCCATGTGTATGTTGACACATCTTCATTAATCAGTGCCTTCAGTGCTCATTCATACAGTGCACAGCCTGTATTCATATAGTGTACATACAGTACATATCACTGTTCCTCCACAATGACCAAGAAATTAGTCCCTAAAAGTGCAGAGCAGTTCCTCTGAGTTGAAGGTTCTTGTAAATCTACTTTGAAATCAGCTGAAAGTGCAGCTCCAGAAGCACAGTAGGACAGCTTTGTACTTGGAGCAGCTGTGGCACATGGGACAGTGCAGAGCTGCCGCAATGCTAATCATGGTGGTGCAGTCAGCCACCACTATGGTGGTGGCTGTTTTTGCACTCTGCTATAAAGGTGGAAAAATAGCCCCCCATTAGTTACACTACTGTGAGAATCCATTAAAAGTCAAGGACTGGCCTCCAAGTGTATCACTTCCTTGGTGCATGTCACTTTAGGCAATCGAAGGAGATAAGCATGCACAGGAGCTGAGCAGAGTCTTTCTTACACCCATAACTGGTAGTATAGCATGCACTTTTATAACTTTTTGCTAGACCTGTCTTGAACAGGTGGACAAACATGCCAGATTTTAAGGTGTTATTTGTGATGTGGACAAATACGTTCTTAGAATTCAGATGAGTTTGGAGGCACTCGATTACTTGGGTGTGGGGGGGTGTCATCTTTTATCTAGTGAAATAAAAATATGTTTAAATAATCTTTTGCATTGTTGGTGCACTTTTACTGTACAGATTTGCCTAGCAATCAAAACTGCCTTATAAGATAGATACATACTATCCCCACTTTACAGAAATTTATTTTCACAATGAAAAGAAATACAAGTATGGCAACAGGGAAAAGAGACATCTTGTTGGAAGTGGCATTAAAATCTGTGCCACTGTTTAAAAACAAAGTAGTATTCCCCACTAAATACAAATGCCAGAGAACTGTTTAACTCTGAATTTTGGTGGAAAATTGTTGCAGAAACAGGACACGAGCCAGATGTAAACATAAAAAGTATGGCACCAGTTTGTGGGAATCAGGACAGGCTGTTTCTTAGTAAGTTATGGTAGTTGACACACTTAGTGGTTATCAGCAAGAGTAAGACACTATTTTTATTATTTGCTGCTGTACTCTCAACATATGCTCACACTTGTAGCCCTCACATATGGTTCATTGCGAAGGCACCACAGGACATCTCTTTAATCACTTTTATATATTTGTCAGAAAGGGATAAAAATACTTATTGCTTTCTTTGCTATACAAAAATAGCTGACAGATTTTTATCTAGGACTTTTGAGCATTTATCGCAGATGTTTTTGAATCAGCCTTTTTCCTAAAGTATTCCCTTCTTAATAGATGTAATGTTTTATGTCATCCATTTAGAACAGTTAATCTAGTTGTTCATGCTTTTATTAATTTTGTGTTTTTAAATATTCTTCTCAAATGGGGAGAATTCAGTGGGCCAAAGACAGGCAAGTTCTAATTCGTAGCACCTGTGCAGGAACTGGGCACCTCTTTATCATTTGTGCCTTTGAAAATCTCCCACTAAAGCACTTAGGAATGATAATACTATATTAAAACATTATGTTGATGTTTTAAGATGGCAGGTTTGTAAGTCATTAAGTATGTGTATTAGTTTGCAGCATATATTCGAGCTGCTGTCAGAAAAGAAAAAGGACTTCCAATTCTTGTGGAACTGCTGAGAATGGATAATGATAGAGTTGTTTCTTCTGTTGCAACTGCCTTAAGGAACATGGCGTTAGATGTTCGCAACAAGGAGCTGATTGGTAAGTTTGTCACTGACTTGCATGTTCAGTCATAGCAACACAAGACAATCTTTCCTTTGATGCACGTAAGGGATTTTTTTTCTTTTGGGATGAAGTTCCCCTGTGATCTATGTGTTCCCTTTTATCATATGTCACTAGTGTCGCACACATTTAATCTTGACAGCAGTAGCTGTTTGGAACAACATTGTCTGTTGATTTGCCCTTAGCCGTCTTACAATCCCCTTACAACAGATAGGAGTCACTTGAACTCAAAGTAAATCAAATGAAAAGTTATCACTGTAGAACATGATGGAAAATGCAACTACCATTCCTTGGAGCCAAAACAGTAAGCTTCTCAGCCAGCCTCAAGGTTGTTCATGTACTGTAAAGGATTTAACGGTCCAGATCTTAACACATAATAAATGTTTTGTTCTGATTATGTTGTATTCTTCCTCTCCTACTAAAATACATGTTTCCATCAAAACTCAGGTGTGGGACCACGTAAGAGTAGGAGCGTACGTAATTGATAGTGCTACTTTTCTAAATCGTTAATTATTTTTGTTTCCTAAACTAATGATTAGCACTTTTCAGCTCCAATCTGTGCCTTTCTCATCTGGGATACATTTCAAAGGGAACATAAGTATTTGTCCTGCCCTGAACAGGAGCCTTACAAATCCACCCAGAGGATGGGGCACAGCACATTCTGAGAATGCCTCAGCCTTAGCTTCAGGCCGTTGTAGTCCAAAAGGATCCCACAAACATCTGTCATGATGCAGAGAAGCTTAATTTTCATATAACAAGAAATAACTCGCTGGGATTGTTTTAAACCAGTGTAGTAATTATGCAAGTGCTACTTGCACAAGTAGGGTACAGTTTGTACAGATAAATATAAATGCAGTTGAAAATACAGTTCTATTATTTATTTATGAAGCTTACTCAATTAGGATACTCAGAATACAATGCCATAATCTCATAATTATAAAAATAATCTTGGCAACCAAAAACCAATATATAATGTTGTGCGTTTTGAGTAAAGATTGCAAGGAAGTGATTAATGCAGCTCTATGAATATTTTCAGTTTTCAAATTCTCTGACCCTATTCAATCTGGACATACACCTAGCTATGAGATGGAAACTGCAGTAGCTGTACTGATCCGTGAACTTCTGGGCTAGGGACAGACATTACACATAAACCAGTTTAAGTGATCAGAAACCAATTTAAACCTGTAACAGAACGGATGTTTAGTGCACATAAACCGGTTTGAAAATGGCTGCAACTGGTTTGAGATAAACCTGGTTGAATGTAGTATATCAAACTTAACTGATTTGGATCAAACTGGTTTATGCAAAGTCTGTCCCAGACCCCTTCCTTGTTCAAGGTAAACCAGACTCCCCCAGGATCCTGGCATGCTCTCTGTGCTGGGCGGGGCTCTCTGCTCCACAGCAGAGCTGGCTCCTCCCTTCTGCTCCCTGGCTGGAGCTCTGGCAGAGACTGCAGGCATCTGCCTGGCTTCCCCCTACTCCCCCTACCCCTCCCCTCCCCTCCCCATTCCCTGCAAAGCAGGGATTCCCCTCTCCTCTCTGCTTTACACAGACACCTCAGCATTAGCTACATACCACATGCTGGCTGCAGTCTGTGCTGTGGGAGACTAGACAAAGGCAGACAGGACTGTGTCTACTTAGGGCTTTTTGGAACTAATCAACAGCTAGCTGGTAATGTTCCTCCATTCCTTCCTTGGAAGAAGAAGACCTTGAACTAATGGAGAGAAGCTTTTGTTTTCTTTATGAGCTGATAAACACTGAGTTGGGGTGATGATCAACACTGTTATCAATTGCCTGCTGGGGGCCTGGGGTAGAACCCCTCTCTAATCAGAGTATCCTGCTGGGGCCTGGCCACGCCTCCCCTCAGCTCAGTGCTCTGGAAGGGAAGGAAGGGCTGCTCTAGCACCCCCCAGTTTTTAGCCTGAGCCACTGCAGGTATGTGTCTGCATTTCTGGGATGTCTCTGAGGTTACAAACCGGTTTAGCCTAGCCAGGTTAAACTAACCTGTAAAGATTGAGTCAATTCAGGCTCAGGTGTTTTGAATGTCTATCCCTAGCCCTACTGTCTGTAGTTTGTGTTGACATTATTAGATATTTATATTGTCTTTGACCATATAAAATTTATCATACTATTGAGTTAATCATAACTTGTTAATCTCTGGTGACCTTTAGCAGAAGTGAATGGAATCACTTTGAAGAGGTTTTCCTCCATTAAACATGGGAGGAGCCAGTGGTTATTGTAAGCTGTTGTTTGTGTCCCTCAGGCATTCTCATATAAGGCACTGATGAAACGTACTTTCTCCCCTCTCTGATACACTCTGAACAAGGTCACCAAAAAGTTAGTAAAAAAATGCGTTGCAATGTCTGCAGCATCCAGATGATACCCAGCTGGAGTTCCTTCCACGTAGGAGAGAGCACTGCTGGCAGAGTAATCTCCCAGAGGGCCTCTCAGCTCTCTGGAATGTACTCTTTCCTATTCCCTCCCTCAACTCCCAGAGTCTGCCTTGGTAACCTTTTAGATATGCTGGAAAACTGATCCTGTTTTCTATAGAATTTCACGAAAAGGATGGGATTCTTTGTTACTACAGAACCATTTGTTTTTATGTTTATTTGATTAAAATGGGAGCCAGTTGCAGTTGATTTAAATAATCTATTTTTATTATTTTTACTAGGAATTATAGGTCTTATGAATGGCTTCCAGAGGTTTTCTTCAGTCTTAATAAAATCAAAGCAGAACTGCTGAATAGGCTGTACTCTTTGTGTCATTACATTTAGCTCTGACGTTTTTGTTAGCTTGTTTTGCATGGTTTTCCATTTCTTAATGGTTTTGTTGAACAGATATTCTTAAAAACAAGATTGGGCATGTTTACTGTGAAAGCCATATTTGCAAAATATGTCCATTTTCATGTAAATAGACCTCATATATTTGAAAATGTGTGCCTAATATTTTGCACATCTTTCCCAATGCTGTAATAAAAATATTCTCTGCAGACAGATAGAGAAATATTGCTCATAGGTAGCATAGGAATGTAGAGCCAGAAGGGACCTCACAAGGTCATTTAGTCTAGCCCCCTGCTCATGGCAGGATTGTCCCTGGCTAAACCATCCCAGCTAAATGTCTGTCCAACTTGCTCTTGAAAATTTCCAAGGATTAAGATTCTGCAACTTCTCTAAATAGCCTGTTCCAATACTTGACCATCCTCGTAGTAAGAAAGTTCTTCCTAATCTCCAACCTAAATTTCCCCCTGCTGAAGCTTGAGGTCATTGTTCCTAGTCCTGTCCCTAGGAGTCACAGATAAAAGCCTGTATCCATCCTCTCTGTAATTGCCCTTCAGGTATTTCAAGACAGTTATGAATCTTCTCTTCTCCAGAATGAATAGCCATTGATGTTTCAGCCTTTCTTCATAAATTCTGCTTTCCAGGCCCCTAATTATTTTTGTTACTCTGCACTCAACTCTTTCCAATCTGGCCACATCTTTCTTAATGTGTGGGGCCTAACACTGGACACAGTACTCCAGGTGAGGCCTCACTAGTGCCAAATAGAGCAGGTGAATCCCTTCTCTTGATTTGCAAGCAATACTTCTGTTACTACAACCCAATATTCTGTTGGCTTTTTTTGCTGTTGGCGCATAATCACCTGACTGTGATCCCCAGGTTCTTTTCTGCTGTACTGCAGCCTAGCCCATCATTCCAGTCTGCATTTGTGCATACAATTATTCCATACCAAGTGCAGGGCTTTGCACTTGTCTATATTGCATCTCATCTGGTTGAATACAGACCATTTCTCCAGCCTGTCGAGGTCAATCTGGATTCTAGCCATGTACTCCAGACTATCTACAGCTCTACCCAGCTTAGTTTCACTAGCAAATTGGCTAAGGGTGAACTCAGTCCCATCCTCCAAATCATTAATGAAGATGTTGAATAATACCAGACCCAAGATAGACCTCTGGGAAACCCCACTTGATACCTCCACCCAACTAGATATTGAGCCATTGATGACTACTCATTGAGCACAATGATCCAACCAGTTACATATCCATGTTACAGTGCTTTTATCTAGTCTCCATTTCCTTAGTTTGTTAATGAGAGAGCTCTGGCAGACACAAGCCTTGCTAAAATCAAAGTATATCACATCCACTGCTCTCCCCCCATCCAAAGCCTATCGCCATTTCATAGAAGGAAATCAGGTTGGTCAGGCATAACTTGCTCTTTGTGAATCCATGCTGGATGTTCCTGATCTCCATGGATCTGGGTTTTCTGTTTCCTATGGGGAAAATGTGGGAAAATGCAGACTTTTTCCTTTGAAGGAGAAAAGCATGAGAAATGATGGGTTCCCTTTGCAAGCTGTCAGCCTTCAAGCCTCCAAAGGGCTGGAGGGAGCGGGAGGAGAGCTATCACAGACAAGGGGCACTACAGGCATGTGTGTGCATACACATATATGTGATGGCCAGGCAACATGGAAACAGCTCCTGCAGTTTCCTCCATGTAAGTCTGTGGGGGAGGAGAGCAGGTTAAGGCCCCCAACAGTGAGGGAGGGCTCAGACTAGGGGTGCTGCCCAGCCAGGTTGTGCATGAAGCCAAAGAACAGGGTGGGAATGCGGGGTCAGGTGGGGAGCAGGGTGAAGCCACAGGTGGCTCATCCTGGGTATAGTGGTGAGGGCTGGCTCCCCACACTGCACACACTCCCAGGGAGGGGCATGGGAGGACACATTCCCCCCAGATTTGTGCATGGGATGGGGTCAAATACAAGATGCCTGCTGTGGGTTTGGTGCTTCCTACCCTGCTGCCCTCTCCCCAGGGACCCCCACAGCCCAGCAGGTGGGACCCAGCACAAGAGAGCAGAGAAGGACAGTCAGGCTCAGTGCTGCTGTCAGGAGCCCCACACTGCTATGGCAAGGTGCCCCTTGCACTGCCACTGCTGCTGTCAAGTGAGCCAGGGGCACCTTGCCATGGTGGCATGGGCCTCCCAACAGGGGCACTGAGCCTGCCTGCCCTTCTCTGCTCTCCTCTGCTGGGTCTCACCCATTGGGCCATGGAGGACTCCAGGGGGAGGACAGCAGGACAAGGAGCCCCAAGCCTACAACAAGCAGCCCACATTCACAACCCCCCCCCCCCCCCCCCCCGGCCCCGACTTTGCCCGGGGGCCCTTGGGGGCGAGA